CACAAACACCCTCATGTATCTTTCTCATGACGTAGTCAGCTTCGTCGGGCGTTAGACATTTTAAAAGCGGCAACAAGTAGCCTCTTTTGTATAGATTGTCGTCTTTAAGCACATATCTGGCTACTCGTCGTTGTAGCTGCTGGGCCTCTATCTTTTAAGTAGGCAGGATCACATCTTTCAAATATTTGATCAAATGGCTCATCCAGTTTTCTTCTGGTTTCCCTTACTCGTCGATATCCATTGCTTCCTGAGCTTCTATGCTTGGTTCGGGTAGAATCTCGACCGGTACAGTTCTTCCCAGGTTGATTTGATAAGCTGCAGCTAGTCGAGCTAACGCATCGGCATTGACGTTTTAAGCACGTGGAATTTGTCGAATCTCATATTTTGAGAACAGGTCGAGCTGGTTTTTTACCTGAGAAAGGTATTTCGCCATTCGCGATTCTCTAGCCTGGAACTTCTCTTTCACCTGACCTACAATCAGCTGTGAATCGCTAAGTATCAGTATGTTCCTAACTCCAATGTATCTGACCACCTTTAGTCCTGCTAGCAGGGCTTCATACTCGGCTTCGTTGTTGGATGCATGAAAACTGAACCGCAGTGCATATTCGAATCTCTCTCTATCTAGAGAGACCAGTAGAAGTCCTGTCCCGCATCCTCGAAAATTTGATGACCCATTTACGTAGAGTGTCCAGGGTTGCTCTTCCTCAACCAATTCTGAGTCGATGTTATATACCTGAGGTTCTGTTGGCGTTAATTCTACTATGAAGTCTGCCACAACCTGCCCTTTCATGACAGTTCTTGGCTTATATTGGATGTCGTACTTGCTGAGTTCCACAACCACTTTTACCAGTCGCCCAGAAGTGTTTGGCCTTTGCAAAATCTGTCGTAATGGAAAGTTAGTAAGGACAGTTATTTTGTGACCTTAGAAATACGGACGCAGTCTCCGGGCCGAAGTGACCAGTGCCAACGCCAATTTCTCCATTTACGGGTATCTAAACTCTACATCTACCATTGTTTTACTTGTGTAGTAGATAGGAGACTATAGTCCATCTTCTTCTTTTATCAACGCAGAATTTACTGTAGTGTTGGATACAGCTAAGTATAAGTGGAGTTCATCACCCACGATCGACTTTGAGAGGAGCGGGGCTGAGCCCAGGTATTGCTTTAGCTCCTTAAAGGCAGCCTCACACTCTTCTGTCCACTCAAATTGCCCTTTCTTCCTCAGGAATTTGAAGAATGACAGGCACTTAGTTAACGAATCTGTTGAGTGCTGCTATCCTTCCGTTGAGTCCCTGCAGTTGCTTTAGATTTCTAGATGGATCCATCTCCAGAACAACTTTGATTTTATCTAGATTGGCTTCGATTCCCCTTTGGTGTACTAAAAATCCCAGGAACTTGCCTGAGGTCACTCCGAACGTACACTTGGTGGGATTCAGCTTTATCTTGTACTTTCGCAAAATTCGAATGCTCCTGCCAAATCCTCCTCGTGTCGCTTGTTCTTTCAACTCTTTACCAGAATGTTGTCTACGTAGACTTCCATATTCTTTTTGATTAAGACTGCAAACATCCGATTCACCATTCATTGGTAGGTTGCACCTGCATTCTTCAATCCGAACGACATCATCGTGTAGCAATACAAACCTCGACTCGTGATAAAAGAGGTTTTCTCTTGATTCGGTACATGCATCTTGATTTGATTATATCTGAAGTAGGCATCCATGAAACTCAATCTTTCATGCCCTACAGTGGCATCAACCAGTTGATCTATTCGAGGCAAAGGAAAAGAATCCTTTGGACAGACCTTATTTAGGCCTGTGAAGTCGATGCACATTCTCCATCTGCCGTTTGGCTTCTTTACTAACACTACGTTGGATATCCACTAGGGATAATGTACTTCGCAAATGAAGCCTGCTTTCAGTAGCTCCTCCACCGTTCAGCTATAATCTCGTTCCTTTGTTGGTTGAATGCGCGACGCTTCTGTTTCACTCGCTTACAGCTCTTGTTGACGTTGAGTCGATATAACATGACTCCTCGATCGATTCCCGACATGTCCTCATGTGACCATGCAAACACGTCGGCATTGTTTATGAGGAAGCTTATAAGGCTTTCTCTTTCCTCATTCCCCAACCTGGTTCCAATGTTGACTCGTCGATCTTCGACTGTCAGAAGGACAGATTCTACCTCCTCAACCGGTTCTACCTTGTCATGGGTGGTCGAATTATGTTGATGACCAGGGCTCGACCTTGCCTCACCCGAGAGGTCGGTCGCTTCATTTAGGCTCGAGGCCGGTTCTCCCCTGTCAAGGGTGGTTGGATTAAGTCGATGATCAGGGCTCGATCTTGCCTCACCCGAGTGGTCGGCCGCTTCATTCAGGCTCTTCTGTTCGAAATGCTGATGGCTCTCACTAGGATTCATGTTGCCTTTCGGATCAAGTCGATGGATCAGGGCTCGGTCCTGCCTCACCTAAGTGGTCGGCCGTTTCACTTTACATGCCTCAGATCGGGATGTCGCCTCGGATCGAGATTTCGCTTCGGCGAAGCTTGCTTTGATGTATCGTCCCCACAGACTACACCAATTGTTGATGCCTGGATCTTGACCCTCAGGTTCTTCTTCTCGCACACACCTAACTCGATGATAAGGGAACCGATACCTATAAAACCAAACCGATCTAAACTGGTGTGACCTCAGTCACACGGTCTCCGATGCCTAAGTTAGCGAGGGAGAGTTGAGAAAATAGTGAGCTAGAGATATGTCACTTGCCTCCATAGGGTTAGACTGGACTGCTATTTATAGCTATGAGGGTGGTTCCAGAACCTTCTGTAGTTGAGCCCTAATTCAGAGTTTGCAAGGCCCAACGATTGTTAATCAACAGAAGAGGGTAGATGTTGGGCTCGGCCCCGAACAAGGGTGTTTAATCTCTTGTCGCTAGATCCGAGCGGGGAAGTCGCATTGCACCTTGGCCCGAAGGCCAAGGTGAGAGGCCGGCGCCGAGGCGCCGTGATGGCCTCGGCGTCGGGTCGTCTTTTGGTATGGGTTGGCCCTTTATGTCTCAGGCCGGTCTCCTCTTGTCGATAATCTCAGACCTTGATTCTTGTTTCGTTTCGGGTCGTTTTTGTTCTCTATAACATTTTTGTTGATGAATAATACGATTGATCATTGAAAAATATGCATAACATGATATTTGATGAGTTGACATAACATGATATTTAATGAGTTGACATAAAAGAGAAGTTAAGCCATTCAGAGAGAAAAAAGTGTTTTTCAAAAGAAAAAAAAAAGTTGAAATTTCAGCCAAAATTTTTCAAAATTCAATTAAAAACTTCTCTTATGCAGCCTAATTTGTCTTCTAAATTCATGTAGCCTAATTCGTCTTCTAAATTTATAACAATATTAACGGCTACTAACAAAAAAAAATTGTATTTTTTAAACAATAAAGACTAAATTAAAAAAATATATCAACATTCGAGACTTCACACATATTTAGCATTTATACAATATGAAATTTCCCATTAATTTGATAAACAAATCTACATAATACCTCAAGAGAAAAAAATTATACGTAACCAAAGTCAATCCAAACATACATAGCAGATAAGATAAATGTTATCATCTACCTCCAAACAATTACCATTAGGGGCCATTTGGTTCAAGGTTTCAAAAAAGATGCCTGACATTAAAATATCTGGGAATAAGATATCTGGGAAACAAAGATAACTGTGTTTGGTTGTATATATGTCCAGGATTAAGATGGCTGAGATTAAGATGTCTAAAAATGAATTATATATATGTTTATTTTGTGTGATTACTCTATAAATATGTCTTTTATGTCATTGTAAACATTGATTAATAACAAATCAAATTTAAATAAAAAACAAATAATATAAATTAAATTATTTTATATTAGCATACTAAATTTTAAATTAACAATTTAGCTATACTGACAATTTAGCACAATAATCAATTGAATAATTAATATTAGATGTTATTTAACTAAAATTCAATAAATATATATATATACACACATACACAAATACATATATATATTTAGCAAAATCATATATTTATATAAAACTTTAAAATCAATCAAAATTAACTCCCAATAATTAATTTATCTTTATTAAGTCAAAATAATAATTATTTTAAATAATTATGTTTTAATTTAAGTTTCATTCTTTAATAAATATATTATAAATAATATATCTAAATTTATTTCGTTGATTTTATTTAGCAATCAATCTTAACAATCTTAACAATTATCATTTTATGTGTTTAACAAAATTAATCACTTTCATCTTATTAATTGCATCAATTTATTACATTATTTATAAAAAAATGAAGTATACACTTTAATAAATTAATTTATTACAATAGAATAATTAATTTAGTACATTATTGGTAAAATTTTAATGTTGTTTTATTAATTATAAATTTAATATAAATATTTTAACTCATTCTAATTAATTAATTTGAATAAAATAAAGTAAAAAATTACATTAAAAAATTATTTAAAAGAGGAGAGAGGAGAGTTTGGCCCAAAACCTATGACAAACCCATAAATCTGAGGGAAAAGAAAGCCCTTGTCCATGGGAATAAGGGATGCATGTGAATAGCTTACCAGGAAAATATTTCAAATAAGTGTAACAAACAATGACTTTACTTGTCCATGTTCATTCCCACCCAGAAGACCTCCTAACCAAACAGCTCGTTAAAGTATAGCTCGATAATCGCTATCGGATTAAGTGAAAAAGAAAAAATCTACATGATAAAAGTTCGAAATTGTCATCAAATTATACAAACAAAAAATTATGAACGATAAAAGAAAGTAAAAAATGTCAATACGAACATAACAAAATATAACTCATTTTCTTGACCAACGAACATAACTAAACTAACATATATTTTCAATCGAGAGTTCGTGAGTTATTCCAATAAGTCGTGAGTGTGGGAAAAAAACTCACTGTCTTCAATTACGAGGGTTTAAATCGGAGAAAGAAAAAGAAAAAAAAAAGAAAGAAGCAAAGAAAACCCTGCGAGTACGTTCCCCAATTTTCTTCTCTGTCTCTCTCGTTAGACAAGGGTCGGCCACTGTGAGTCTCGCAATAAAAGGGCAAATTTTTTGCAACAACCGCAGTTTCCATAAGAACCCACCAATTTTCTACTCTTTCTCGGCGCACTATTTCAACTCTTTGCTCATAGGGTTCTTTACTTTATACAAATTTTCCATTCTCCTCCGCTAAGCTCAATAAAATTAAATCTGTAAGTTAAGTTACTCCCTCTGCTTCTTTCGATTTTCTTTCCCCTGTGCTTTCTTTTTTGTTATCTTTTGTTGATATATTGTTCTCTGGATGATAGAAATCACCCGCTGTGGAGGGTTTTCGATTATGGCCGACGAAAATCACACTCAAGTTCCCGTCCCAGAAGATGGGATTTCAGAGCCCTCAAATGGCAATGAACAAGAATCCGTCGAACTTGCTCCGACGTCGCAAAAGGATGAAGATGATGTGAAAGGTGACGTGTTTTGTGTGCAATATTGGGGTTCTTGTGACCAATTTTTGTTATGTTGTCTAATGAAAAACGAATCGAGGGATTTTGTACTTTCAAATAGTTGTTAAAAGAATTCCCAAAAGAAGATTAATGCTTCCACGTCCTTTGAATAGTTTATCTTCAGATTACGTCCAATTAGTTGTGTTTGCTAATGGTTTTTGAGAAGCAAGAAAATAAAAAGAAACGTAGTTATAAGCTTAAGAATGTGGGTTGTTGTAGTTCCTTAATGTTTCAGTGTAGAGTTTACCATCTTGCTTTTCTGTAGTTTGCAGATGACGATATTTTATTGTGCTTGATAGTGAGTTCTTTGGCTAATTTTCTTGTATTAAGGGTGTGGATAAGATAGCTCAATGAGCTAGTGTTAGGCTTACAAATTTGTTACTTTCTGATGAGCTAGGAACAAGAAATTTGGGTCTTCTAGCTACATGGTTACGGCAGTTAATTTTTTATTCTGATTCTTTGTAGCTCGAGGTTATGGTGACTGGTGAGTGAATATGTGTGACATCCTTCCTGTTGTTAGGCTGGACTTGGCTCTAGTGGTTAAGGGCACTTATAGGAATCTGGGAAGATAATCTTGTTGGGTCTCCCAAGTTTTTCTAATTCTCTATCTGGATGAGCCGCACATATGTTTTCTGGGAGGACCATTGGTTGAGTGATGGCCCCCGATATTCTCTTTACCCACGTCTTTTTCATTTGTCTTCTGTGAAGTCTACCTATCTAGCCTCTATCCTTCCTTCCTTATTCTTCTTCTTCTTTTTTTTTGGATAGGAAACAATTTCATTTTGATGACATGAAATTATCCGTTAAAACAAACCCTATCCAATGAAGTTACAACAAACTTCTTCAATTGGATACAAGAGTGTTCATGCTGTAGATGTTAGAAGGAGAGACATTTTTACACCATGTTAAAGCCAAAAAATAAATAGAATCGATCAAGTGTAGGAGGAGATGTTCTTTTTCTTAAAAAAGCCTAGTATACCTCTCTCCATACAATCCAGATGAATGCTCTGTTGAGTTGAAGCCATAGTGTATCTTTTTCGTTTTTTAAGGGTTGATGGAGGAAAATTGACGCCAACCAATCCCTTGTGTTGTCCGGTGAAATCGAAGTCCAGGCAGAGGTGGACAAAAAATGCTTCTGGATCTTGGTTGGAAGGGACCATTTGTAAAAATATGGTATTGAGACTCAAAGTCAGCTTTGCATAAAAAAGCACCAAGAGGGGGAGATGGACCACTAAGGGCATCTTCTTTGCAGCTTGTCAGACGTATTAAGAGACACTAGTGGCTTAACTCCCAAATTAAAAAATTTGACTTTCTTTTTGATAGGAGGCTTTCCAAATAGCTTTAAAAAGAGAAGTTGTAGGGAGCCGATTTAGGTGAAATTTCCATGTTGCTCTAGGTTCCATAGCCAAAAATCATCTCTGTGATGGGTAGAACAAGGACAAAAGCGTCAAGAATGAAGCCCACTCCACAATTTTCCTTCTTTTAGGACCACTTCTTACAAATTTAGTTTTAGGAGACCGTTGTTTGATTGGAGAACTTCTAATATGTCTTTTTTAAGCTCTTCTGAATGGGTTTCGCATTTGCCTTTGGTTTAGTGATAGCTTTGCTTGGACCCTTCATTCTTTTGAGTATGTTCTTGTATAGGTCTATGTTGTCCCAATTGAGTGCTCTCTAAATCTGATTTTTTTTTTACCATCTGTTTACCTCTAGTTTGATTTATCATTCTTTATCTCTCCGTTCTTTTCTTCTAAACTTTAGAAATTGAAATTTTCAAAGAAAATTTGGTTCTTTTTCTATCTTGTTGTTGTAGGGAAGATTAACACCTTAGACTTTACTTTTGGCCTTGGCGGTGTCCTTTCTTAGTGTGCTTATGGAAGATTTAAGACACCGTTTAATTACCAAGGTCTATGGTGTTACTTCTCGCCTACTTCTTTCTTCATTTTATTTTTTATTTTTATTAGAAATCGAAGTTTCATTGAGGAAAAATGAAACAATATTTAAGGGGCGTACGAAAAGCAAGCCCGTGGCGTCAAAAGATGCACTCTTTTTTGTAATTTTTCTTGGTTCGCTTATTTATTTTGTACTAGTATTTTGGTAGTCCTCTTATTTACTTTCATTTCTTAATGAAGATTGGTTTGGTTGTAAGAAAAAAAAGCCGCATTTTTCTTACAAATTTATTCACTGCAGCTTGTAATAAATTTTTATAATTTACAACTTTCTCATTGAAAGTATTGAAAAGTAACTTTCACATTGTACCCTGTAAAATGGTTATTAGACTTAATATAAAACTTATCATTACTGGTTGAATATTAGCTGAGACCACTACTTCCATTTTATTGATTGTTTTACTGACACTTGTAATGAGCTGACATTTCTCCCTCATTTTACAGAAGTGTCAAAGAAAAAGAAGAAGAAAAATAAAAGCAAGTGAGAATCGTTTATTTTAGTATACTTTTTCTTGTGTGTGGGTTCCCCTAAGCCAGATGGTCGACAGGGGATTGCAATGGTCGCTTCGAGTTTGATATTTTTCTTTCATGGATAGGAAAAAGAAAGAGTTGCAACAGACAGATCCACCATCTATTCCCATCATTGATCTTTTCCCGTCTGGGGATTTTCCGGAGGGTGAAATTCAAGAGTACAAGGACGAGTGAGTATAAGACTCAATTTTAATTCTGCATATTATTAATTTTCTCGTCAAATTCTTATTGTTCAAAACATAAATGTTTTGGATTGGATTGAGAAATCAAGAATAATAGATTAAAAACGTTTCAAGTTGACTGGAAAGATATAGTGACTAATAAGGTACCAAAATAAAAAAGAAAAAAAGAGGCTTCATGTATGTACCTGTTCATGAAACAAATTTTACATTGTATATTTGTATTTCTTTTATAAGAAACCAAGCGAATATTTTCAAAACCGAAGCAGCCATAAAAGCGATACTTATTGACTCACAATTTTACATTGTATGTTATGTAATTAAATGTTGACAAGAATCATAAATTAGTTGCAAGTCAATAAGTATATTTTATGGTGCATATTTATAAATTTGCATAGCCCTTTTGGAGAAGTTTGTCCTTGTGTATTTAATTGAGTCTAAAAGCAAGAAATTGATTTTATTTTAAGATAAGAAACATTTCATTAACAGAGAAACTTACAAAACAAGAGGTGTATTGGTTACCAACCAATCATTGAAAGGATAATGGAGAAGCATCAAAACGTTGTAGTGTTTAAATGGTAGTTATGAGGATTCTTTATCAAACTCTGTTCCCATTGTTCTGTGCATCAGTAACTTGTGGAGGACTACATCTGAAGAGAAGAGGGACTTGGAGCGCCTTCAAAAACCAATGTACAATTCCGTTCGCCGAGCAGCTGAAGTTCATCGTCAGGTAATGTAACTTGATCACATTAGTGTTTATGTTGCCATAAAGTATGAATTGCTAAATCATCAATCAACCTAAAAGCTCATGTTGATCGGTTACGTGATCGGTTACGGTAAATTTAATCTTTTATAGATACCTTACCACATCTCATTTGTTGACTTGGAAATTTGCATAAGGCCGACTCTAACTCCGATACTCTTGTTAAATCATCAATCAACCCAAAAGTTTAAGTTTATGAGTTATGGTAAATTTAATCATTCATAGATACCTTAACATGGATATATGAGACTGTTAGTCTGGAAAATTCAGGACGATTTGCCATGCTTTAGAATTATCTAACCCTTTTTTTCTTCCTTCATTGCTATTAGGTAAGAAAATACATAAGAAGCATACTGAAGCCAGGGATGTTGATGACTGACCTATGTGAGACATTGGAAAGCACAGTTAGGAAGCTAATATCTGAGAATGGTTTGCAAGCAGGCATAGCATTTCCTACAGGATGTTCTTTGAACTGGTAATATTAAAGACGTGGCATCAAATACACACACTTACGCACATGTATTCTTTTTTTCGAGTATCTATTGATGGTTTAGGCTTCTTTTCTTTCAGGGTTGCTGCTCACTGGACCCCTAATTCCGGAGACAAGACTGTGCTTCAGTACGACGATGTAATGAAATTGGATTTTGGAACACATATTGATGGTATACTTTCTATGTACTTCAGCAACTTGTTACTTTGTATTGTGTCATTAGGATAATCATAATATCATATTCCAAGAGTCACTGAAACCGGTTTTTTTGTGAGTGCAGGATGCATTGTCGATTGTGCATTTACAGTTGCATTCAATCCTATGTTTGATCCACTGCTCGAAGCCTCACGTGAAGCAACTAACACTGGTATCAAGGTGAATGTGTTTGTTAATTATCCTGTCTGCTGGCAGTCGCTATATATTTTTATTATTCTGCCTTCATCACAAATATATTTTCTATGGAATACAGCAATGGTAGTGGATATTGTGATGGCTTGCATTTATTTTTTGTCTTAAAAGTTTTTATCATCTAATTATTAGCAGTAGATGCAACTGGAAGTTCAATCCTTTCATTTCCCATATCGATTATATTCCTTGTTGCTTTTTAAATGCAAAAAATGGCACGTGCATTTTGTTTTATTGGTGAGATTAAGATCTTCAAATCATACTGCACGTGTAAAGCAAATACAACAAATAAGGTGCTGGCTGCATAATATAGAGTAATACATATAAATAAAATAAGAAGGCATAAACTCCCACTGAATGTAGAATTTGGTACAAATTTCAAGAAAGCACAGAGGCCTATTTATCATGTTAGTATCAAATAATTCAGTCCTTTATTCCATGATTTCAATGATATATTTGTTTTCTGAAAGATTGTATTACAAAATCATTAGTCTTTTTATTTGTTTATTTATTTACATTCCATTTTCCAAATGAATTAGATGGTTGCTTGAATCCTCAACAAAGTAACTATCTTTCTATCCCTTACAAATTAACTATCTTCTATCTCTTTAGGAGTCTGGAATTGATGTACGACTTTGCGATGTTGGTGCTGCAATCCAGGAGGTCATGGAGTCGTATGAGGTTGAAATTAATGGGAAGGTGTACCAAGGTATGAGCATTTCAGAAGTTAGCAAACCAAAATTCATTCATCATCTTTTGAATTAGGCTATAACTTGAGTCCTCCAGTTCTCGACTCATCTATTCTTTTATTATATATTTATATTGACATAAATAATGTTGTTATCTTCTTCATTTCGTTCACAATATTTTTTTTCGTGCTTCCCTCTTTACAACTGCTTAGATGCATTTCTTGTCCTTGTAAAACAGATTTTCATGAACGATATTTTTTCCCTTTTCAGTCAAAAGCATTCGAAATTTGAACGGACATAGCATTGGTCCTTACCAGATCCATGCTGGTAAATCTGTTCCTATTGTGAAAGGAGGGGAGCAGACCAAAATGGAAGAGGGTGAATTCTTTGCAATTGAAACTTTTGGATCAACTGGTAAGAACTCTTTGCAGCTTGAAGAAGTAATCGTTATATATTACGAATTGCTCTTGTTGACACCGCGGTTCATCTGTCTTTTGTCCAGGGAAAGGGTATGTTAGAGAAGATCTTGAATGTAGCCATTACATGAAGAATTTCGACGTCGGCCATGTTCCACTGAGGTTGCCAAGAGCTAAGCAACTGTTGGCAACCATCAATAATAACTTCTCAACACTGGCATTCTGCCGACGGTATTTGGATCGCCTGGGTGAGACTAAATATCTTATGGCATTAAAGAATTTGTGTGATAGCGGCATTGTTCAGGTGCTCATCTTCTATCCATTGGCTTCTCATATCTTTGATATAATATTAAGAGATGAATTAACTTGGAGTTTGTCTCGTTTCCCTTTTTGATAATGAGGAAAGTGTTGATCTGATCTGGTCTGGTTATTATTAGCACGTTAGCTTGTTGCGACTTTGTCATCGCATTTGATTGTGGGTGGTGTTTGAGAGTTTTTTAGCACGAGTATTTAAATTATATTCACTTTGGTAAAAAATGCGGAATAAGAAATCACTTACATGTTTGGCTTTACACTTCTAAAAGTGCTTTTGAAGTATCTTCAAGTACGGGTTAAAATATTTTGCAAGAGAACTTTGGAAATTAGTTTTGGTTATGGAGAATGTGCTTTTCGCCCCCAAACATATCCTTAGTCTAGTCCGTCCAATGGTGGATAGTTGTAGTATATACGGTAGTGTATAGTAATGTTACTAACTTAGATATACGAGTCCATTAGTTGTTTGTATTTTATTGTAACTTCACATTCTGTGGTATACGTTCTTGTTAAAATTGAAAATAGTTCTTAATCTCAAGTTTATAGTCCCTAAGTATGGGAGTCCAAGTAGCAAAATACGTTATGTATCGGTATCGGCAGTGAAAGCAAACCAATGTTAATTATTGTTCAATTTTCTCAGGCATACCCTCCATTATGTGATTCCAAGGGCAGTTATGTTTCTCAGTTTGAGCACACCATTTTACTGAGGCCAACCTGCAAAGAAGTGATTTCCAGAGGTGATGACTATTGATAATTTAATTCTCTTATGAAGCCTTTCTATAAAGGCCACTTTTTTGCAAACTCAGCTATGAACCTCTCTCTCTCTTCTGATATGACCGTGGCTACTAAGACATTGTAATATATTTTATTTAGCATTTTGACATGCTTATGAGTTATAAATTGGAGTCTTTTCTCTTTACTCTTTAAAGGCTAGGTTTTATACTTCGGGATATATAAATTTCATTAATAATGAAAATATGATTGCTTATTAAGTGCAAGTTTTGAGCCTATGAAAATTCTATTCTAGACTATTTAAGTTACATCTTTTAAATTAGATCTTTTCTACCATACATATTCAATTTATAATTGGTGGGAGATCAAATTATTGACCGATAACAGGTGTCTCTTATGCATTGAGTTATGCTCAAATTGGTAAACAACTGTTAAACAACCTACGATATGATTTTTAGTTAGGGCTTGTTTTATCATTCTCAAATTGCTCCCTCTAACAAATTGAATTTGATCTACGTGGTCGGTCTCCCCTTTTTAATCATTAAATGGTCATTGGTCACTTGCCTCTAATTAGTTTAGTTCTATGTGACGATGCGAATGTACAAAGTATGAAGCACAAGGTATACATTTTAAGTGTCAAAGCACAATGTGATGCTTATTCTTATTCTAAGTTAATTAGTTAATTATTATTTGTGGTTTTTTTTCTGTAGTTTTGAAGGGTTTAAAATATATTTAAAATTGGAAGGCATTAGTAATTTTGAGGCTCATGTCTTAATTTTTCATCGGAATAGGAGTCCTTTGTAGTTAAACTAATGTAATGATGCATATATCGTGATATGTATCTGTGGGAATTGATACTACAAATTACTCAGGTGAACTAAAAATTTATGTATCAATGTGTTTGTATATGGTTATGGGCGAATTTATGTCTTGGGTTCACTTGGAGTAAGATCAAGAGAGCAAGCGAGTTGAACGTTTTGAATAAAGCGATTGGGTTTGGCCCACTTAGTTGACTCGACTCGAGCTAACTTGAGCTGGTCGTTACGTGTCCACAATGCCATGCTACGTTTCACCACATCTATGTGTAGATCTTTTTATGTATAGGTGTTCATTTGGAGCTTCTTGCACTTGCAATGCCAATCAAATTCCTGCGTCAACACCATTTGTGAAAATGAATTGAACTTTAGAATTAATTGGTTGATGAATATTAATCCTAGTACAAACCAATATATTCTAGTAATATAATAGAAAATAAAATATGAAATGTTTGTTCTTAATTTTAAGACAAAATCAAATCATTTTGTTTAGTGTCTTCCGGTAGAATACAATATTATAAATATTTTTATCAATACTTTAACCAATTAAATTATACTCCAATTAGACATTAATCACTAATAAAGATGCTTTTCAAGGGAGAGAGAGGAAAAAAGCACTAACAAGATGGACATGGCCAGAATAATGAAGGAAAATTTCTTGTACCATTTGGATACTCACTTTAACTAAAATAAATGAATTTTGAAAATAAGCGAAAAATATTAAATAGTCGTTAATCTCTTGAGTTCTTTTTTTTTTTCCTTTTTTGGTAATTCTCAATTCAATAACCTCTTCTATAGAAAATGTTAAATTTGTTTTATTTATTTTTTTAATACAATATACGAAAGTGAGAATTCGAATTCACCTGATTAACCATTTGAACTATGTTTGATTTGGCTGTTAAAATTTATTATCGTAAAGTTGATGTTTTCTTAAATTATTACTTTATTAACATATTTGAATAAATGGACATGCCATTTATAATCAATGAATTTTGTTGACTGATAGATTAGGATTTATACATCAAGAATGTTTACGTGTCCAAATGTAGTAATAAAATAATAATATATAAATAAAATAAAATCATAAGTTTAGATTAAGAACAAAATTTAGAATTACTTAAAAAAAGATTGAGGGGTTTTGGTATAGTTAGCCTTCCAAGTGATTTGGAAATTACAGCAAAACAAGATTTCATCACAAAACTAAAAAAACTACGTAAAAAGCTTGGAACTTTGACCAAGTTCGTAAGATTGATTCATTGGGTTCGGCTCGGACCAGACTCGAAGATTCTCACTCGCTCGCTCGCTCGTTTTTGTGTGATCGAATCCACTTCCACGCCCTCTCTTCTTCGCAAATTCCACAAACCCATCGGAGATCTCCAAACTACGTATAAAAGGGTTCTCGCAGATCGATCAGGGCTCTTCTGTGTTCAATTTGGAACAATGGGGTTGGGTTCTCTTGCTTCCAGAGTTGTCAGACCTTCCTCCAGGCTGCTCAATTCCCAAAACCCTAGAAATCTCCTCCATTTTCGACCCATTGTCTCCACCTCCGAGCTCCAGAACGCTGAGGCCTCCGCCGCGCAGGCTGCTGCCGATCCTGCCCCGCCCCCTCCTCCTCGGACCCCTGTGGGTGGCGCTCGCGTCCATTTCTCCTCTCCTGAGGATGCCATCGAGGTGTTCGTTGATGGGTACCCGGTGAAAGTCCCTAAGGGTATGACGGTTCTTCAGGCCTGTGAGATCGCTGGGGTTGATATTCCCAGGTTTTGTTATCATAGTCGGCTTTCGATCGCTGGGAATTGCCGTATGTGCCTTGTTGAGGTCGAGAAATCCCCCAAGCCCGTTGCTTCTTGCGCTATGCCCGCTCTCCCTGGTAAAATTTTGACCATTTTGTTTTCTGTTTGTCTTATGTTTTGGATTTCTTAGCTGGGATGTGGCCCGACTGGCTCCTTGATTTTTTGTTTTCTTTGATTTGCATCATGTAAATTGACAAGGGATTTGTTGTCAGTCTGTTGTACATATGATTTCCTGTTTGTATCTGTGTTGCAATTAAAGCAATTACCGATTGCTAGTGTGCGCTCCTCCAATATTTGAGAATATTGTATCACAAATGCTTGGTGGAGTCTGGAGATCGTATCCACTAAGTTATGATCTTGGTGGAAATATTAGTATCTAAGACAATAATGATGATTTGCTTCCTGGGATATGGTGTCGGCATTATTAGTATCGCTAAGACAATAATGATGATTTGCTTCCTGGATTTGGTTTTGATATTGCGCACTTGATTTTTTCTGGTTGCGTTTAATTTTTCGATGTTTAATGTTGAGATAATTCATTACTTATGTGCAGGATACTCTACTTCATCCATTTAAGGCGATACTGAGATTCTTAAACAATTAAGTTTTTGAATGGTTATATGGCTTATGCAGTGTAACCTTGAGTGATGAATAAGAAAATTATTTCATAATGGCAGTTCTATGTCTTATCTATCTGAAAGGCTGCATGGACTGTTTTTGTGTTGATAGATAGTAATTTATCTAAATAATCTGCTTTCTAGGAATGAAAATTAAGACCGATACACCACTGGCAAAAAAGGCTCGTGAAGGAGTGATGGAATTCTTGTTGATGAACCATCCTTTGGATTGTCCAATTTGTGATCAGGGTGGAGAATGTGATCTTCAGGATCAATCTATGGCATTTGGATCTGATCGTGGCCGGTTTACTGATGTGAAGAGATCAGTGGTCGACAAGAATCTTGGTCCCCTGGTGAAAACTGTGATGACACGATGTATTCAGTGTACCAGGTTAGATTTCATAGTTTACTGTCTATGGAGGAAAAATGTATGATTTATAGGGAAAAAATGGTTTTTTGGAACTGAAAATGGTATAATTTGAACAGAAGGAGGAGTTCCATTTGGATTAGGGACATTTGTCCAGTGTTTTTTGTTCCAATTGTCATATCATATAAAGTTTCTACCGCATTTGACAAGGTAATATTTGAAAATTAACGTGGCAAAAAATATGGACTTGATAATGAGAACTAGGACTGTGGACTAGTAACTCTCTATCAAGGATGAGATATGTATTTTATACCCTAATTTGCTTCTGTATTTTAGAATTTCAAATGTTTTTTACCTTCCATGAAGGTTTTGAGAGATTTTTGTTCTTTGACTCGTTCTTAACTTCTTAGTCATGATAGAATTGTTTGACATAATTTGTGTTATGTACTTACTACCTTCAGATACATTAAGTTCTTAGATGTTCCATTGAGGAGAGTTTCATCAGCATGTTCTGTATTGTTGCAATGCGTAAAAAGTTAAATTTTCTAGGTTCAAATTACAGTTTGGGAATAAGTAGCTCTCTTATCCAAAATCACTTTTAATGAATAAGTTCCATTTCAGATGTTTAGCAACACCGTCTTATGGTTGTAATGCCAGCTGTGGGTCAGTTTTGACTTATATAGAAAAGAGAATAAGCCCCCTTGAAATCTTCCAGAACTTCCCTTCTGATTTGCCAAATGCATCTCCCACCTTTTATCAATAGAATTATAGGCTGGTGCATTGTAGGAAGAGTGGGTAGGATGCGAATAGTGAGTTAGGTGCGAGAAGTATATGCAAGGGGGGATGCAAATAGTGAGAGTATAGCTAATAGTATCATTCTGTAGAGAGTCTTAGACCTCTCGAATATCTGACTAGTCTTGTAACTTTTTTGTTTTGTTTTTCTTTCGATATATCCAAACCGAATTCTACTAGTTGCTTACATAGAACTCCAAGTAGATTTGATTACTCTTTCTATCAAGTATCAACTCCTCTCATTTATGTTTATTGGACCATAAAATTGATTTGAGATTTTATCTTTTGATTGTTTCTTGGACTATTAACCTTTTGGTAATAATCACCTAGCTAACCCTAGTATCTGATGAGGGTATCTCCATAATTTACTTCTTATTCCTCGATAGATTTTAATGTAATCATTCTTCATATAATGAACTTATAGATTTATTAGCCCTACACAACTTTTAGGATTTTTTCTCCCTTTATTTGTCTTTTTTTCTCTTTTTCATTTTAAACTTCTAAAAATGTTTTTTTTTTTAATTAAGAAACAATTTCGTTGATGAGTGAAATTACAAAAAAGGGGATATATACCCCAAAAGCCAAAGGAGTTATATGAAACTTCTCCAATTGGTCAAAAGAGAAACCATACTATAAGATCAAATACTTTAGATGCTTTACACCAAGACATAGCAAGAAAAATGATATTGTCAAAGAGTCCAGTGAAAGGGAGCTCTTTTTCTGTGAAGAGTCTGTGGTTTCTTTCTTTCCAAATTGTCCCCAAAAAAATCAAAGGATGTGTTTCGAGAGGATTGCCTTTTCTTTCTTGAAAGGGT